TAAGTATAATATGGGTCTGTTTACAGGTCACCTCCATCTGGAAATAGAATTCAATCAGAGTGATTTACATCGATAAGTGCCAAAAGACCCAGAGAGCTTCATCTCCACCTTGTTGCCGCTGAACTGGGGCTTGCCCTCTTTGTTAAGGTGCTTACCTGGGCTGTCTGTTTTAAGCTGTTCGTAGCAAAGGGTGTTATGGGCTATAGGGAACAGGGGTTGAAGATCCAGGGTGGTGCCCCCTATATAATCATAAACATATTATATGGGACTCATAACTACCCCCTTATATATGTAAACTATTCATAACCCGGAGGTCTGACTTAGGGGCCCCAAATTTAGCCAGAATGCGAACAGTCTTCAAAGACGTTTTCTCTTCTTTTACCTTCTTGGTCAGCTTCCCCTTGTTCAGCATGGAAATGGTTTGCATCGGACTCCAAGTCACAGTTGGTTTAGGACTGGGTGACCCATGCAACATCATCCAGAATCTCGAAGAGTATACCTAAGACTCTGCACAGGAGATGCGATCGGGTAGCAGGGAACACGCATGTATGTACAGATAGGTGCAATATGCACAGTCGAAGCGCTCTCACCGTCCTGTTGACAAACCACTCCCAACGGCGATGCCTCCCTAAAATAGACTGCCCTGGTTGCTCAATGACAAAGGTCGTGTGGCACGCCAATGCCAGAAGTAGTAGTAAAACCAACCTGATCGAAAACCAAGCTCTAACATCAGCACCGAAACAACGGGATTTCACGCATGCTGCCCTGTCCATATGTACTGGACTATTGCAGTCAAGTCTCCGAGATATGAGTTCATTATTCGATGTCACCCAAGCATTCTGAAGATTTCCATAAGGATTGATCCAACTGCGACAAGAGACAGATCGAGCTGGGATTCCCCAAGACGAGCAATCGGGTCCAACCAGGTTCATTGCGTCTGGCAGCTCGTTTAGCACGACCCATAATGCTAACCTGGGCGAGGGTATGGATTTCTTTTCTGGGCAACATGTATATAGTTACGTGCAGGATTAAATTTGAATGGGTTTCTTTAATAAATTTCTATAGGTAGATCGGTGTATTGGCCAAGGGACGCATAGCCGGCACTGCTGAGAAAATTCATATCAGGGCCACAAAGCACATCATAGGAAGCCGCAGTGAAACCATGCTCCCGCCTAGGATTCAGAACAGCTTTTCTAATGAATGCGTAGGTGTCACTAGCAATCTTGCAATATAGCGGCCAGGCTACCATGTTTTTGAAACATTGGCAGCCCCGCTGAAAAGGTCGAACAGCTGGAAGCGAGGCTTGAACTCCAGATTTGACATCCAGCGAAGTAGCAGGACCTCAATAAATTGCAGTACTCCTGTGGGGCCTTACCCATAGCTAGATATAGTTTATAAAGAGTTGGTAGAAGCACTCCCGGAGAGAATGCCGAAAGCAAAGGTCTTGGCCGTCCCGGTGAAAACCTGAACTAGAGAGATAGGCGATCAAGGAGTGGTTTTGCAAGCAGGCATGAATACAAGCCAGGCGTTTTAGTCAAGAGCCTTTGGGGCGCCCAGCTGCATCAAGTTGACAACCAGAGATTCTTCCATGGCTGACAGGCAAAATGCCCACAACTGAATTTAAGTAAAACTGTTTTCTATCAAGCGCAGGTCTCCGCAAGAACTTCCGAAAAAGATGTGAAAAAGCTTATATGGCATGCCCCGAACATACACTGGATCGAGATCGAATGGCTCTCACTGAGGCCTATGACATCTATATAGGTACCCCTCTTTAAAT